AACGCGAGCCACGCGAAGTATACGTTTTTATGCGAAATAATAAATTCAAAACCGAGGAAATTAACAACTTCGCGCCCGATTGTTACGTCTTAATCATGATTTCGCGTTTGTGTGGCTGTTCAATTGGAAGAAACTCGGTCAGATCGGTTTGCCTATACTTGGAAACTTTGCACGAGATCTTTGCATACAATCTATAGCGCTGGACATTGACAAAAGGTCGTTCCAGTTACGTGACACGCAAAACTGAAATTCTGCTCGATAAATCTTAGGTTACCTAATTCTTGGATTTAATACGAATATTTAAAAAAGGCTCATAAATTATTCCAATCCACCCTGCGTATTTTTAATAATTATCGTTAAAACTTTCACTGGATAAAATAAACTATTTTATTAAATACAGCGAACAGTATTTATCAGAATCAAAAGAAACAACAATCATACGGTCGTGTATTCTATGAATAACTTTGCTCGAACACTCGACAGACGAACTTTTCAAGCTCAAAGATTTATTGTGCAATCTTGTCCGATCGACCGAGATCCTAAAAATACTTTCGTGAGTCCCGTAGTATCCGTGTTTCTGGGTGAAAGCCAGAGAATCGTCGCATATTCAACGCCATCGGCAAATAGTTTCTGTTTTCATCGGAACGGGGCCTTTTTTCGTTTTCCCGGATTTTCTAAACTTTCCAATTCGTAACTTTTATAGGCTATTCAATAAGAACAATATTTGTTTGAATGGCAAGATCGATTTAATTACGGTTGCCATGATAAGTCAGCGAGCTTGGAACAAACGTATCACATTATTCTATCGTCATTCAGTGGCATGAACGGTTCTCATTTACCATTCTTTCAATACTAATAACAATAACTCATAAATGGCAAATTCAGAGGTGTGTCATTGTTGCGGTCAATGAGCGATATGTGTACGAGTCCATCAGTTACTCCGATGGCTTTCGTCGAACCCATATACCATATGAGTTCATCGACCGCAGAGTTAAATGAGAGTCGTCTGAAATAATTGCTAAATGATGAAAAATTCAATTACCAGAGTCAAAGAAAAATGTCTGTTCTCGATTTCTCGATGTCGTCTTGTGACCATTATTCATAAAACGCGATAATTGCTAACAAATATGAAAAATTTTTAATCACAATCCGTGAATTTAATTTTGTTCAGAGTAAATAACTTGATAGTAAATCAAGTGTGGCGAGGAAGATTTAACAAGCAAATGAATTTTTTTTGAATGAAACGTTAATGTAGGTTAACGTTATCTTAACTTATGCATACTATTAAAAGCCGTATCTGTTCCCCAAATTGACCATTGGATGTAAACAATCACTAATACAGATATATGTATCAATAAATGACAGAAAGTAAATATTAAAATTAAAAGAGCTATAAAATAGGCTCCCAGAGAGTAAAGCGTTGAACAAAATTCTGTCTTTTGTTTTCAGCTAGAAAACCAACAGAAAAGATGTGTCTCAAGGTGTCGCAATCGACGAATATAATCGTGAAATTCCATTCAACCGTTCTCTCGTTACGCCCGACTCTTTAGTGCCTCTTTATTATGTTCTTCGACGACACGCTCGAGTCGTTTCCCAGGTGATATGTATTGCCTCCATTGTGCGAACAAATGCACCACTCGCTCGGAAAGAACGAGGCGTGCTAACAACTTGCGTACAAGGAGACGCATCGCGAGGGTTCCTTCCTAGGAAATACGTAATATCTTTTTCACGCGCGTTATGTCAGAGTCGCAGGTGAGAATGCGCGAATCAACTCATCTCGTAACTTTCTTTCTATAATTAGGTACATCCGTTCCCCTTCTTTGCCATTTCATCTCGATGAGAAATTTAAAAATAGAAATGTAAAAAAGTTTGTTGCTTCGACAAAATTAATTTCGTGAAATTCTACGTTGATTACTAATAGATAGAATAATAATTTTATAAAAATAATCTAAAGCCAGCGGTTGAAGTAGTACTTGTGTGACTCACTCTGATTGTCAGTTGAAATTTTACAAAGTCACGATTGCGGATCACATAAAAATCCTGCCTTAATTAATCGATTACGATATTGGTCTAATCTTATCTAAAATTAAATGTAATCGATTAAAAAATTAATCGCCTCGAGAAAGAGCATCCTTTTAAAGAAAAGCTCTGATGTGTTCGAAACCCATGGGTCATTGCTGACCCATGCAGCATTCGAAGCCTGTGCACACCTTTTAAGGTTCCATGAAATGAAAAGACGCAGAAACGACTTTGAACGTTGCGACCGCAGGTTCTTTTTCCTCGCGGTACCTTGCGGTCCCTTCGTGTTCACAGGTAATTATGGAAGTATCGATTGGGACTTCCGTGCATTGCTTGCAAGTTCCAATCGTAAAATCTACAAACACACATCCTTAAACGTGTTCCTTGCGGCGGCTATTTCGCGGTAACTCGTGCCACGAGGCCCAGTCACGGATGCCAGAGATTCTCAACTGTGACAACTTGCTCCTTTTGTTCGTAACCTGTGTTTACATATTTACAAACACTATCTATCTATAGAATGATAAAGAACATACTCTGGAAATACGGTGTTCTCAATAACCAAAATAGAAAAGCTAATTTACGCTCATCATTTTTATGAAACAAGCAAACAAATAAACAATTCCTTCATGTATTCCAGATATAACTGTTTGACCGATTAAACGTCTTAAATAAATTTCTACTTGACTTTTTCAAAGTTTACCCTCACGTGGCCGCGACGCGGCGCGGCGCCCCGTTTCTTTGCGAAACTTAACGCTATCTAACAGATTGCAACGTGTTTATATTTCGCGCATTTTTCATTCCCGATACAAGTTTTATCTAAACAAGAAAATCCACGTCTGATATAGATTGCTGTGTGCCTCGCTAGTTTTTCCTCTCAATGGAAAAGACTGGGAAGATCGTTGCTTCCTTCGGCGCAACTGAGAACCATCGTCGCGTGTAAAAATAGAAACTTAATAGTACTGTTCGACGGGGGTCGCGATCGACAACGAATTCCCAAACAATTCCCTCGAAAATGTGTTCCGTCGCGCAAAGTAGGTTGCGTCAAGATATTCTCGTACCTGAAAACGTTCGAGGTCGTGCACCATATCCGTTTCGATATACCTTATTCCGTAAAGCGCGTTTACAATTTAAACGAAAAAAGAATTATCTCGACGTCAATTATTGATAAGATTCCTTTAAAATTGATACGAAGGATAAATATTGCATTTGCACCGAGACACGCAGCGTGAGTTCTTTAAATACTTGAAAATTATTTTTTCAACAGTAATCGATGGAAGGAAATATTGCTGGAATACCACAAGTAATCGCAAATAAGTGTCAACAAGTCATAATTCTGTTATCAGTTATCTTTAGAGAAAAATATCAAGAGCCCCATGATACTTCGTTGATACTTTTCAAAGTATTGATTATTAAAATACTAATAACTAAACCGTGGATTTTGATGCATTTAATGTGTAAGAAACTACAAAATGTACACAGTATGCAATAATATAAAAAATATTGAAAGTATGCTTCGTTTTGTAATAATTGGAAAATGAAATAAATTCTTAGATTTCATTTTTCAGCCCCTAAGGAATGTTTGAAAGGTGGTCTACAATTTGCTCCAAACCTCCTCTTTAGTAAAAGGCGAAAGATTTACGCGCGATTTGAAGGGAAACCAGGGTTTAAGCCTCCTCTCGCTTCTGTTTACTTGTATTGTGTTTACAATATCTTGGTACGAACCAAGCCTTCTAATTTCTTATGACCAAATTTCGAGCCGCTCCCTCGTTTTCCTGAAACTTAAGCAAGGATCACGCATTTGCAATTTTCCGGTTAGAGTTGCGTGAGACTCTTGTATATCGGTCCAATATCGAGATATTCGCTGTTTGCGTGTCGTTAACGCTATCGAAGAGCAAACACGTTACATTCGAAAATGAGGCGAGAAAAAATACGGGAACTCGAACACGCGTAATTTTTTTGATTTCGTGAACTTGATTTCCTGAGGTCGTCCCAATCATTATCTTAACGACTCCCGGTCTCATCGAATACACACCGGGAGCGCAAAGATTTACATACTCGGATTAACAGGCGACGCGACGATAAGCGATTTTTATCGCTGAAACGTGCCCACTTTCAGGAATGACACGCGGTATTCGAAAGCCCGTAATAACATCGTGTTTTTCATCGGTACGATCAACGACAATGAAATTCCTACGCGGGTGTTTCACTTCATTGATCGCCGCATATACATATTCTCGTCTTTACACTGTTCAGTATGTATAGACGGGTTAAGGGTATTGCGCTCCTTTACGTCAATTTCTCAACTTGCATCCGCGACACCGTTTGACCGTTTGACGAGGACTGTGGACGAAACTGTCATTCTAAAATACGTTATTGCTTCCGCATCGTACAATTTCATGAATTATAAACAAGATATGTACACATAGTGTACATCATCATACACGTATCACGTTTAATTTTGATTAAAAATAAATATTGTATCGTTGGATAATGAATAAATATATGAGCAACACCCCATGACAAAATTTCTCATGGATTTAAAAAAAAAAGAATCCAAAAGAAAAGGACCTATACAAGAGCACTTGTAAAAATTCCTCGCGTATTTAAAGAAAAATAAATCCAAAAGAATACCAAAAAAATGACGCTCTAATCTAGAATACTTCCGTCGATCGAGTTAGCATTTAGTTAAAGTTAAAGCGTTCGAGCTCGAACGTGTGAACCATCTATCCATTGTCTCGCAAAGTTCGGCTACGTCTACTCCACAATTCACTGACCACAAAGCCATGGAATGGCACGTCGCCAACGTGACCATTCGATTATCGATACCGGCCGCTTGAATCTTTACCGTTCGTCACGACGAAACCTTACATACTTATAAGGAACCGTGAGTCTTTCGTTCGGTACATTCTGCCAATAATAATAATAATAATAATAATAATAATACACAATACGCAAGGTACGATCAGAGTTATGCGACTTACGTAAGTGTGTCCAGATGACAAAGTCGCAATGGTATGCAAAAGACAGGTGAGAAGTCTCAAGTTTCTTATATTACAGTTCATCCGGCATCTATCTGACTCGAATATACGCGTAGCCGATGTACACTGTTGTTAACACTGATCGGCGAACAGAGATGAGAGCACAAACGACACCAAAAGATCCAACGTGCGCAGCACCGTTCACGAAAAACACAAAAGTCGCGTTATCGCGACGGAGTTCGCCGGCCGACTATGCCGAGTCGCGCACACTCCCGCACGGTATCGGACTTGTTCGACAAACTTCGTATACTTTCGAATGGCACGGCGAACTTGCCGCTTCTCGCTTCACCCTGCGTCCCACGCGCCCCATTGATCGAGATTTCTCGCGTGGCGGGAATTTTCAACACGTCGTCGAGGGCTTCAAACTCGGATATACTTGCAGTTTTTGTTTCAAATGTTAAACAACTCGTAACGAATTCAACACTGAACGAAGCCAGAAGCTTCATGTCTCATCTATAGCAATCGTATGTATATACTTTATCTGGTGAATTGTAAATCTGACACAATATCAAAGAACTTTTCTATTCTTTTAGTTATTGTTACAGGAGTATGATTAAAAAAAAAAAAAATGCTCCAGCTTACGGGATGTCTAATAATTGTGTTTACGCATGCTGGCTAATGCTAATCGAATGTGTTTGCTAATGCGTCAAGTTTACTGTCCACGTAGGCGTCGATGGAACGTGCATAGAAAGTTGTAAAAGGTAAATCGCGGTAAGTAGGTAATTTGTGATATACCTAGGCTTTCAGGAGGTAATGTTCATCTCAGATCTGTTTCCTCGTTGGTAAAAATACAGTTTCAATGCCACGCGATAGGAGCTTCTTGTATCGATTTTAATCAAGCATTCAATCAAACGTAAGATACGTTTATAATAGTAAGTACGTCATGCAGTACCTATTCAATATTTAGATGATGGAATAGATATTCAAACATGGTAATATATCGTTGTGCAGAGTTCTTACATGTCTGTTGCATCGCTTGCGTCTCGAATTAACACTTTGACTCTTGGTCTGTTTAGAAACAGTCTGTAACTCAGAAGAAGATCGTCTATATTAGTAAAATTCATATTCTGTATGTCTAATGAAGAAATTTGTCTGAATTAAATGATAGATTTGATATTTCCAAATAAATTTTTCATTATAAATATGTATGTGTGTAAAGTTTGTTCATGTACACATTTATAATGTTAAATGAAACGTTTCTCAACAATTCACCTCGCGTAACCCGAACCGTAGGTGTTTTTCATACCGCGTGAGAATTATTTAGCAATCGTGCAGGTAATTCGCATCTGCAAACTAAATTAGGTTAACGCGCATCTAAAGATTAAAGTCATATGCTATTCGTCGAGCTTGTATTATTCAACATACTTTCAACGGGTTTACTGTTGCGCTAGTTTTTTTTTTTTTACGGATACCGATGACCGTTCGTAACGTCAACATCGATACATCAGAAGCCAAGGAGCGAGCTAATCGCGCCCAACTATTGGTTATCTTGTCAATGAATAACAAAAAAAAAAAAGGAAAAAATTCTAAAGCCGTTAATAAATACGATATTGCGTTCCGCTAGCCGACTCACGACTGTATTTCGATCGATGACGATGACGCGACCTTGCGAATTTTACATAATAAGACCGTACGATACATAAAATAAATGCTAATTTCTTTCGCAATTCAAACTTTCGACGAATCCATTTCTTTCCGATGACTAGATATTTACAGGTACTGTAAAGGTTTTACTATGTGTTTAGACTCTTCAGCAACAAACTTTTTAAAGTGTACAAAAATCTCTACTTAATAGCTTATCTACTTGGAGCATATTTAAAGACATTTTAATTCTAATGTTTACCTTCTGTAATTTATTAATAATATTGTTATAGGTATATGTAGGTATATGTTGTATACTTATTAACCTCGCTAGTTTCAGTGTTAAAACCTTGTATCACTAAGGTTCAACATTTGCAATATTTCCACCTTAAGAGTTTTCAAACTTGTGATCAGCTGATGACAACGGTTCTCTGTAAGAATCATTTCGTATCGTCGATTTTTCGCGTACAAATGATAATGATAAGAATTTCGAATTCTTCTCCTCTCCGTCCTTCCTCCTCTGACGTCTAAACGTGCCCGAAACAATTTATCTCGCACTTTATCCCGATTGAATTCGTCGCCGATCGTATGGAACGAAACTGATAAGATAGGTATTATCGAGCCGTGTTTGCTTTTGGCGTAATATCCACTGTAAACTGATTGCAGATAAATAAGTAACAAGTCGCGGAAATTGCGTTGCGCAAATCGTAAGTGTTTTGCAATGCTGTAACTCGATGTACGAGATGGACTGGTGTTTCTTTGGTGGACGTTAGCGAGCCACATCTGGTTCTATACTTAACCCTTTCACATCGGCTTTCGAATGCTTGAGCTGTCGGTTGAGTTGATCGTAATCAGTTTTTCTGTGCCTTCGTCATCCAATATTCGAAATTATTTCTCTGTCGGTTCGAGTCGCTAAGAATTAGCTTTCGACGGTAGCACGGTAGCACGGTAGATCGAATTCGTACGTGCTGATGCTGACCAGCTGACCCTGAAGCAGACGATGAAAAGGACGCAGAAGGAACCATGAATCCGTCGAAATCATTTAGACTTTATTACAGCATAATTCGAGCATTGTACGGGCGAATAATGAAGACGGCTTTCAGCGGCACCCGGCACAATGAAACCGACGATTGAAACTAATCATGAAATGATCACGATGCGAAATGATAGGTATAGAAAGTTCATCGCCAATTCTAGTTTAATTTGTCAAGTCTGAATGCTCCCTTTGGTATAGCAAAGGTAATATGCACATTTCAAGAGATTTTCCAAATTCTGGATAATTGAATTACGATGTATCGTAATCTATCGTAATGGAACGATTGTGACAAAGTGACCTATTTACATCGTCTTGGCTCAAGTGCTCACAGCTGCAGCGAAGCGCAATTTCTCTTAACGTTTGTGCCACTGATCGTGTCAAGGCGAGCTTTGTAAACGAAACCGAGCTTTCAGGCAACGTTAAACTGCGTTAAACTGCGTTAAACTGTCAAATGAACGACTAAATGTTGCTAATTAAAACGGCGTACACTTCGCCGTAGAGTACAAACAAATCCTATTATTTTTAAATTAGAAATCGATAAACGACGACAGTTGCTCGTGTCGGATTTGTCGATAATCTATTTCATTATAGGTAGCTGTAAAGTCGAACTCGATTCGTCTGCTTTATAAGCCGATCAAGGGCTACCATGAATCAACTAAATCCGTTAATTTAAAGCAACAATTGTTGATGTAACGATTTTCAATAAAAAAGACTATATTATTCTGAAATGTTTACAATTGTCGTTACAATTGGTATCGTCACGTAAGAAATCCAAGCTATCGATACAAATCATTAATGTAATCTGAATGACAAATGACAAATCACATAAATTATTCAGGCGATATGCGATTCATCGTATTGTTAAGTTTGAATGAAATATTAATTTGTACGGGAATCTTTAGGAAATCTTTTCTGAAAAAAAAAAGAAACAGAAATCTTAAAACGGGAATGAAAATTGCGTGCTTATACGATGCAAATTCTTCTTCATAAAAATACCAAATACGTGGATAGGTTATAATGAACGCGTGAAACGCAACGTTGATGTCGGTCGCAGTGCAGTAATTGTTATGTAACACCGGCAGAAATTGAGACTCGGCTCGTATGTGCGGGAATACGTGACTCTATGTACACGTACGAACGACTGGCTATGCAAATTTAACTGCAGGAAGATCCGTTTGTTAAACGTCCCGAAGGCCTCGCGCTGGCCTACGCAAATTTTTTAAGCGCTTCGACCCGAACATCTACTAAAATCCGCCTATAACAACAACAGTCGATTCCAGTTTACCTTAACAGATTAACGACACAACAAATAATCCCTTTGTTCTAATTAACATTATCCTTGCAATCGATTTAATTGGCTTTACTTGGCTAATTGAACAATTACTCAACTTTTAACCTATTGTTTTCTGTAGAATATAATTTTATAGCAAAAGTACGCATATCGTATTTGTTCTGTGCTTACATATCAAAGCAAGTATGCGTTGATGCGAAAGAACGTGGTAAAAATGTAATACTTGTTACTTAAACAGTTAAATTACACTTACATTACGAGTAGGCTTTGTACATACTATGTCTAATCTGGTCTAACCTGGTCTAATCCAGAAGCACCTGAAAATATTCAAATATTTTTTTATGTAGTTTTTCTTCGGTGATGATTACGTTCAATTTAAATTTAAAACTAAGGCCGTTTATCTGTAGATGTCGTTAGTTTTCAATGATCTCTAGTAATTCTCTAGATTCTAGAAGATCACCAGGGACAAAAAGCCCTATCGCCATCCAGTGATAAACAGATCAACTAATTCTCCTTTGACCTGTATACTCTAAAATGTTTATTGAAAAAACAATCGTCATCTCAAAACTTATTTGATGAAAGTTGACCACAAAATGTCTTCAAATAATGCAAATAACTTTATGCCATTTATTAGTGTTTATTCACACTGTATTCCCTTTGAACAGCATAAATTAATTTCTCTCGATGTCCACGTGGTTAAAATCAACTGACTTACCAATGTAATACACTTTGTAATATTTCTATAATCTGAGGTTTTTGTATAATATTTCACTTCTTCCTATTGTTCAGTAAGTAAATTTCTATTACTCATAATATCAGTTTTAATAATCATATCCCCAATACCGAAAGATGATTGGAGCTGGTCATAGTTAAGTGGGTGTCATAATATTTCTTTAAAACAAATAATGACAGTCTTTGGTAATGGAAAAAATATCAACAATAATGAGTGAGTTTGATCTAAATGAGTGCAAAGTCATATAACTTGATTAGTACCTTTTATACCTAAATAATGCAGCAGTCTTGTATTTGTTTGTTCTTTATATTCTTTTAATTCCTGCTTCACATTAATTTACATTTCCATTTGCTTAGATACCTTTCTTCGTAATTCTTCTATTAGGAATGCCAGTAGTCAAACCCGTACTGTAGCTACAATTAAACATAGCTACAGCCCCTAAAGGGCACAACAATAATGGAAAATCCTTAAAAAAGAGAGCTGTCATTACTTTTGACATATGTCATACTTGTAATTACCATTACCATTTAATTCAAATGTTTATCTTATTTCTTTGCGTATGTTGCAGTGACTATAAAATAATTAAGTATTTAAAATGATGACTGATATAGAAGAAGCAGAAGTGAAGAAGGTTCAATCAGAAATTGATAAACACGAAAGGTAACCTCTCTTGTTTTAAAATACCCATAACTGTATATACTATTTTGTTTAAATTAACTACACATTGTATATTTATATAAATAACTGTTTAATATTTTATACTAGTTTTTTCTATTTTGTAGTGACAAAGTTCAAGTGGATTTTTCAGATGCTGCTAAGAAATTAGCTGAAGGACTTTTAAACATTTATCAATTGCCACTGGAACAAGTTCAGAAAGAACTTAATGAAGCAACGTAAGAGTAAGCAATGAAAATATAATACTTTTCATCTTTCTATTTTTTTGTTATTTTTGTTTAGGAGCAAACAAGAGGCTTTACTTACTCAGATGCAAGTTGAAAACAAAAAGCTTCAAGAAACATTTGAAAATGTTAACTTAAACGAAATGGTGAGATATAGAGAATTATACATTCTCTTATTTCCTTAAGAAATATTCTATATATCGTTAGATGATGTATTTTATGATTTCTATGTAATGAACTTTTTAGTATAAATTCATAATATAAGGTATAAAATACAAAATATACAAACAAATATGTATTACAGTTTCAAACTATTAAAGTTTATCAAGGAAAACTAACTTCAATGAAGAAAGAGATGGCTTTAATCCATGAACGAACATTTAAATTAAAAGTGAGTATTTTTAAGTTATTTATACTTTGTATATGTTTTTGATGCATCGTTATTTTTATATAGAAACGAGCATTGAGATTGCAACTAGTGAAACAAAAGGAGGCCTTGAACAGGGAACAACAAAGAGAACAAGAAATTCGTCGTGAACAAGAGTTAATTGGTAAACCCATAGTGAGTTAAGATTATCCTTAGATGTACAAGAGAACAATGCATTTATGCATTCATTTACAATGAAATTTACATATAAAGTCGTTCAATCGATTTAATTAATTCAAATATAATTTACATTTTCGTACAATTACCAAACGATTTCCCACTGGCCGTTAGAGTCACATTTTTTATTATTTTTACATAAAATATTAAATGTTGTTTTACTGGGAAAACCAATGATCTCTCTGTCTTCTTGTATTCTAAATGTAAAAGTTGACCCATATGTTCCTAGAAAATACCTAGAGGAAAATATATATTGTATATTGTTTTTAATTGTGACAACAAGAATCAAATACTCTTATTATTAATCATCACCTGGAATAGGAGCATATTATTTGATCAATAATTGCAACTCCGCCATCTTTAAATTTCTTCAATATATAATCTGATGGAATAAATCTAAGAACTGTGCGATCAAACAAGTATTTTTCAAGTTCTTTAAATTCTGTAAAAGTTGAGTACTGGTTAAATTTAATGAAGTTTTAATTTTACGTACAAATTCAAAGATACGTTACCTTCCTCTACAGCATCTGTGGCAACAAATAAAACTTTTAATCCAAGTTCATCCATCTTTTTTCTCAAATAAGACACAGCTGATTTTATTGTTGGTACTGTTGAAGAGTGACCAACTAAGAAGTCGCGTCTTCTCAAATGAACTGATAAATATGGCCCTCCAATTGCATTTCTTCTATTCTATGAATAAAACCTTTCATTAAAAAATATAAATTTATTTTATTACAATTGTAATTAAATACCTTTTCTTTAGTCCAATCGTTTGGTCGCTTGGTGTTATCATCCTCATCTGTTGAGTTCAGAAATTCTTTTCTGAATTTATTTGCAATGTTATACAATTCAGAATTGTATCGCATACTACGTCTAGCTCTCCAATATTCTTGTGACCCATAGACATTGTGTAAAGCAATTTCCATGCGATCAAACATTACAGATCTGTGAAAATGTAATTATTGATTGAATGAAATATTGATTATATATATAAAAGTAATATTCCATCTCACCTGTAAATTGTAGGCTTAAGATTTCTTTGAAGATCTGATATCATGCCATGAAACACAACACACTTAACAGCTTCAGAAGTTACATTATCATATCCCCAAAAGTATCCTTTGTATTTTGTAGATTTCAATTTACTGTACCATAAAGTCTCATCCTCACATTCTACTACTTCATTTTTATCTTTAAATTCTCCTGTTTTAAACATTTCTTCATCATTTTGGAGAATATATACAACATCAAGTTGGGTTTCTTCATTATCCGAAGGATACTCTAAAAAGTAAATACTTATTATATTTGCGAGAGACAAGAAAGTAATAAGAATTATACCTTGTATAAATTGATACATTTCAATAACTGGTATATATTTTTGTAAGCTTGCAATATCAAAAAATATATTCCAAGGCAATTTTGTTTGAGATCCTATGTGCTTACTTCGCCAATGGTACATATTACCTACATAAAATATCAAAATTTATTTTCATAAAATGGTGTAAAATACAATACAATATTGAAACTCTATTAACAAATTACAAGTAACAAGTTACCCCATGGAGGCAAAACTAATTTCCAATTGAATTCTTTCTCTTGCTCCATTACGTTTTTTATAAAAACTGCAATACGAATGTAAACATCTCTTCTAAGATTGAAACCTTCCGGTGGATTGATATCGTAAAGTATATAACTAAAAAACAATTTATGTTTGAAAAAACGTCTATTTTAATATATCATTAATAAATTACAAAATAATTTCAAACCGATTTCGTGAATAGCGTGATTGAACATTGCATTGCTTATCATTATTTCCATATTCATCTGCTTTCTCACAAAATTTATTTTCAACAATAGTTTGTGCAAAATTAATTGAAAATAATATGAGATACAGTACTCTTAAGGATAACAAGTTTAGCATTTTGAGGTTATATTGCACATCTTCAAATAACTGTACGAAATAATATAAGAAACTATATACATTTCGTACAATGCTAATGTATAAAATACATATCTTACAACGAAATAAATTTATGCTTTTAAACACATCTAAAAACGTTTCATTCGTTCTTAACCCACTAGACAAAATATTCTAAGCTTTATAAATTTGATGTTCATTTGCGTTAGCAAAATATAAATTTTCTTCTAAAATAATAAGATTAAGGACAGTAAAAAAACAACAGCAATAACAACAACATTGTACAGCTTGATTTTTGTTACACACGAATTACAGACTCATATCTCCCTTACTTCAAAGTGGTTGATGGGTAGATTACAATTTGCTAATTCAATCGATAATAGTTATAATAATGGTAATAATAATTATTATTTATCGTCTTATACAATATTTATAATTCATAGTTCAGTTAACATAGTTTGTGCCCTGCTTATATTAAGTAGGGCTATTATGTTACATTTACTGCAACTCACTCCCCATACTTTTTCCATTTATCCTATTATAAAGTATACACTTGGCATATAAAAATTACAAGGACAATTTATAATGATAATGGTAGTAGCGGTAGTTGTAATTATAGTAATGATAGTGGTAGCACTAATGGTAGTTGTAGTTATAATAATAGTCATAGTAGTGGTATTAGCAGCAGTAGTGGTAGCGATAATAGTGTTATCGTTATAATTATTTATCCAATAACTATATTCTGTCTCATCTTTTCTTTCATGTTATTAATTTTTCTATACGTATACTTGCACGAAATCTCAGGTCCATTTTTGGTTGCTCAAGATTTCAGTGTGTTTTGGGCACAGAAATTAGCACTGTCCCCACAAAGTTTGTGCCTCGTTGTGATTTTTAAATGTGTGCCATTTTATATCTCCTTTCCACTTTTTATTAGCAATGACGTTAACTGGTAGTAGAATTCTTAGCCAGCAAACATTGGTACATATTATAATACTGAATTGTCGTTATAATAAATATAACACGAAATTCATTTCTATTAGATTAATTTTCTTTCTTGTTTTGCATTTCTATATGAATTCTCTATTGTTAACATCACAGCTAAAAAGGTGTCTTATTTCAACATGAAACACACTATCTTACATTCATTACAGAAAACGTGAAGTAGTACATGGTATTAGTAACTTTCAAACAAAATACCGAGTTTTGCACAAACTGCACAATGCATTCATTCAAGTATGCTACATACTGTTCTGTCTAATAAATTTCTTTCTCTTTCTTTCACAGACAAACACACATACACGCGCACGCACATATATTTATCATATTTTTTTTTCTGTCCGCTTTTGGCTCATCAGACATCAAAATAAAATAACGTGAAATCTACATTTGTGTTCTATTTATTTGCTACAAAAAATTACAACTATCTAGAGGAATAAATAAATACGTAAAATGACCTATGGCTGCCAGAAACAATGAACTTTCAAAATATGAAACAATTTTTGAATACAGAAGACATATTTTAAGTAATTATAAGAATCTCACGATAATTGAATAAGTACAAATTGCATCAAGAACTAAATTTGCAAAGACAATATAAAATTTAACTGATCATTTTGCCAATTCCTATTCTTACAATGAATATGTAAGACGTCTTTTTAAATGTACTACTTGTACTAAGAAAATTAATCGAAACTATGTTAGACCTTATAATTGGTTGTTTGTGCACTGTGTATTGTACTATATATATATATAGTTTACTATATATATATATATATATAGTTGTATACTACTTCACATTTAGAAAGTTATTTTTGACAATTACCCGCTTACTAGGATAATCGCAGTTTTATATGCTGGCACAATTACCTAGCACTCCAGCTAAAATAGTCAAATATAAACAAAAATCAGTATATGCGTAACTATATACTGATAATTTAGACCTATTCCATACAAAATAAGTTTCTTAAAACCATTTACTACTAGATACATCGAATTCTTTTAATTAAATTATATATTATGCTTTATTTATAGCTGATGATTCTGACAGAAATGCCATTTAAATTAAACGTTTTTTATTTCATTTCTATAAAGATGGGCCCAATGATATCTGTACAGTCCTTATTTTTTAATTGTAAGCCCACTTTAATCTACTTTGTTCTTTGCTTTCGAACAAATTTACCTTAAATGTTTGTTACATATCCATCCAGTTTTACATCATACGATGATAATTGTTCTTAATTCATGATTGTAACTTTTATGTTTCCAGATTACTATAGCAAGCTAATGCTTGAAACTCAGTTATATTGATACATTCTGACAAAATTTTTACAGCATTCATTTAGAAGTGAAGTAGTCAGAGATTTAATAGCGATTTAGTTCTTCTCCAAACTATATTAAGATTGTAATATATTTAACTGCATTGGACTTGTAATGAAACGTTTAAAAATTACAGGTTTGTTAATAAATAATTCATATGTACACAGAGAAAGATATATACACATGCACTTTCACCCACACAGCCGTGCGTACGTATATATGTACAGTAACTAGCAGTAACACTCACAAACATATGTCATACAGAAAATTCAAAATAATGTCGAAATTGTTCTTCCGCCAGTTCGGCCGAATTGAGCATAAGAAAGAATATATAAAAAATATATATTTTGAAATAACACATACTATAGATTGTTCCACTACAATATTACACATTATTACGTGTCTGTTTTTACCATATGCATGTATGTAATTTTTGTCTGGTAAATGAAATTGAGTGGTAAAGAGAAAAATTGTATTTAATATAATTTAATTTTCTATAAGTACTTTTTACAATCTTATGATATGTGTGAAATGATAATAGGCAAACTTGGATATAAATATCTTTGCTTAAACATTGTTGTATCGCTAGAATTCATGAAAACATTAGGTTTAACTGAAACAAATTCGTCTAGCATTGCTGAAGACAATATTTAAAATTTCACAACAATTTAAAGAAAATTGAAGGCAAGACGAAATGTAAGTTTAAACAATCCATTTATGTTCTTGGTAAAAACATAACGTTTCCAACAGTAAATCGTCTGTATCATACGTTCTGTTTACTCTAGCTCCATTCGATACCGAACAGTCGGAGGTTGGATTCAGGCAAAACTTTTTGTATTCGTGTATCTATTTATACTTAAATACATAGAAGGCGGTAAAGCTGTTACATACTGAGTCATGTTTTACATATATATGCGATTATGAATGTGGTTGCTTTTTTGGAAGGTTTGCTTTCTTTCGCTTTCCTTGGAATGTCCATAGACACTAATTAACTAGCATACATTAAAAATAAGTTCAGTCATTTACATATACTGCAGACACTTCCGAAAGGGAGAGACGGCCATTCTGTTTCACAAAGTGCCTCAGCTTTGTATATCTATTCATTTGTACAAATTAGTTCTGTACAATCATCTAGCATTATATTAATAAAAAGAGCATGTAGTACTATAGTAGAAATGCTCTACTTCAAATGTAGTTTTCTATATAATACATACAGAAAACTGTCCGGTATTGCTAATGAACCAAAGATTTACGTGCAATTCAAAATTATTAATTTTATTTTTCTATTTTCCAATACTTGTTTTCTAACACTTACAAAGCAAACGTTGCACGTGAAAATGTTTTCTTTACGATTATTTTTAACATAAACTCAACGAGAAATTCGTGCCTAATATATGTAGGAATTAATCATGACTGAAAATCATGAATACATGGGAACGAGTTATCGAAGTATTTATACAAAGAAAAAAGGGTACCACCGTAGGTCAGTATTGAGGTAGCGTAACGTTGCTTTGGCTTAGCGAGTCTTTCTGATTATCTAGAAATATTTCAACTGATCGGTGGTACTTAGAGAAAAGTGTTATACGCTGAAGGATGAAACTGTACAGTATGATCTTTACATGTAGATATTTTGATCTCTCTACTGCGCATGTATCTCGAGTGCCGACGTTTGAATTTTCGTACATATATATGATCGTAAAATCATCGTACTGTATTGCGATCTCTTTGGTAGAAACTATTTGGTACGTTTGCGCCCATTCGGAAGGTCGTGCAGAGCCGTGGAGTTACAACGAATGAACAGCTTGCAGGGGGGTACTTCACAGGGAAACAAACATCAACAACAATGATTCCTCAAGTATCAACAACATTAACAACATCCCATTATAACTTATCATCATTATTGTGATCGTCTCTATCTTGATCAGTTTTATGTCATTTCAGTCGCTGTCGTAAGTCTCAGTCTTTCGCCACACCTTCAGCTTGATAACATTTGTAATGGATAATTATAATTATCATCGCAATCATTGTCTTCAGCAACATCGTGTCACAACTGTTAGTAATATTTATGGCCATTGTCACCGTATCCTCTATTATTCTTCCTATGGCCACCTTTCTTTTTTAATGTAGCTTCTTTTTGCCTTTATAATAACGTTCTTTATCGCGAATTCTCTCACTACTGATCGTGTCTAATAATAATTAATCACTCTGGAACTTTGAAACAGAATTAGATATTCATAAATATTTACGTATGCGCTATTAACGATGATTCTTTTGAAAAAAATTATAAATTCTAGAGAGCGGAATGAAATGTGATCACTCCTTTACAATTATAAAATTAAAGTGAGAAATAATATAAATGTGAATATTAGTGACTGATTAGTTGTTCAATTATCAATTCAAATTTACAAAGTTCCTTAATTTTATAACATCTACTAACGCTTCATACACGTACTTATATATTGCGCGAATATTTTGGTATAAAATGTCTGTTCTTAGTCCATGGTAAATAAAAAGCGAGCTTTTTAAACACGTCCATGCAACTGATTTCTTCTTTGATCATTTTCTAATTACGATAGTTGCTTCAGTGTAGTTTTTTTAAATATATTACGAGTTTATATGCGATCTACAAACATTTAAAATTCATCGAAATAACAGAGGAGAACAAGTATTCTGAAGCTCCTTCTGTGCAAAAGAATATATGTATGTATATATATAAATTCCTATGTATACATATACATATATTCTTTATATATATACATATATGGCTTATTAGGTCACCATCTTATAGATGCAGAAATATAGAATGCAGTCTGTTTCTTGTACATAAATAGTTTCCTCGAGAGCAATGGCACTAATACAATTTCGGGATTTTCATTTTGTGCGGTAAGTGGTATCAAAATAGATATTTTAACTATTTGTTACACAGTGTAAGTACATAATATAGTATAAGAAATATGTTATTACGTCGTGAAAATGTTTACAAACTACCGTGATATTATTATTTCGAAACTACAAATTACTAACCTTAAAAAATCAGGATAAATTAGAATTATTGTCGTAATTATCTATAACTGATCTTCTGACTTTCGAGGAAAAATATATCGCATGATTTCCTGACCGCTCACTACATTTCGGTATCTATATGAGAGTAATTTATTCAGAATTACTATTTTTATTGAAACACGTAACATGCGGTTTATGAATCGCGTGACATAAAAATCGAAAAAACACTTCAAATTTTCTTCTTGAAGATACGATATAAGCCCCTTTTTTTAACAGTTTATGTTACCTCATCACTTTTCCATATTACCGCATGTTATATCCTTAACAGTATGAAGATACCCTTAGAATGATACTTAAAGCTCTTACAACTTTTACAACACACTTGCGTACAGAGAGTAGTAATAGCTGGGGTTTTGGACTAGACGTGATGTGGTTGAAGATGAGGCAGTCTGCTGGATAAGTTGGATCAGGATTTCATACTATTTGATTCATCGAGTCGCCTCTCTGTTCCTACCGTTAGTAAATTTGTAAATTCCATATCTAACAGTTGTCGAGCCTACAGAAATAAAAGAATGTACTTTAATTTAACATGTGCAAGAGTGAATAACTAATCATAATAATTTGTTAAATTTAGAACGTACTTGTGTATTTTGTGTTGGAATTTGCAATGTTAGAGCAAAGCTATTCGCGTCGAAACTTTCGTCAAGTGCTATGAGAGCTCCGTGAACCCCAGATTCCAAAAGGTGGTTTCCATATTCCTAAATACATGAAATTACATTTTAATCCGTAGTTTAATGAATTATAAGAAAATAACAACTGTAGGAGTCAAATTACTTTCAGGCCGATAGATTGCACCCATCTTATAACGCGATCGTTACTCCACACAAGAACATCGACATTGGCAGCTTCTGCCATTCGCCTTCTTTCTTCTAATTGTTGTTTATCGTAATTTAATCGCTTCAAACACGAAATGCCATACTGTAAACTTGTCCTGTAAAAATAAACGAATAAAATATCAAACCATTATCCAATTGTGATCTTGAGCCAGTTAATTATTACCTGTGAAAACTATCAACCATTCTAAGTTGACCGCGGAGGTCTTTTTTAGTGAGGTGATCCAACATTCTAGCATCAACAAGGCACTCCATGAAAGTGGACCGATACTGTGGCAATCCAAGACTTGGGAGCCAAACATTACCAATCCATTCGTGGTTCATATCTCCGAATGCTAAGGTTGTGCGAGAGGTTTTTGGTGCCGATGGACTTGTGAGTGACACCATTTCTTGGATAGCTAATCTTAACTTCAATCGATGTAAGGGGTTACTGTAATAAAAAATATTAAATGTTAAATAAAATATTAGGTATAAAATATGTATATCAGGGTATGATTGGCAAACATTTCATATCGTACCTTATACCAATTTCGCGTTGGATTTCTGTATCGCTAAGAGCACTCATTATGGCGCCGCTTTTCACATTTGCTCGACAAGCTGCAACATACCAAGTTGGCATGCCTACCCAGAGCTCAAGCCAAGCCACCACAGTTGGTCCATTCCATAAAGCAAAGGGTGTTCCCGCTTTCATTGCTTCCGCCAAAAGTTCATGACGCGAAGAATCCAACATACTACCAAACATGCTGGGGCTAGACCAGTATTTAAATAATATTAATTATATTGACCCACACGAAATACATTTTCAATTCATATTGTTATTGATCATATACCTCTTCTTTTTTCGGCGATCAAAATCACTCTTGCTGCCCATAGTTCCAGCTACAGCAACGCTATCTCCATAATCAGGATCTGCTGGTGTACTTACTCCTCCCATGCCTGCCATATCTCCAGGCATTGGTGTATCTTTTCCCTTTATCTGAAATTAAAATTTTCTTTTGTTGGTACTTTTATTTACTTTTCTAGTTACTGTTAAGTTTATACATATAACCGTATCAGTATCAATATGTCTGCTCACTTTTTCTTTCTTGCTGAAGAATCTGCCAAGACTACTTTTAATGCCCTTCTTCTTTTGAGCTGCAGCCACTGCTGCTGCTGTTGCTGGATTCATGGTTCCTTGCATGTGCAAGTGCGAGCTAGACAGCTGGCCAATTGGCAATCCGACACCAGACAAGTTGTTCTTGTGCAAACTGTCCTGGCTGCTGTGACGTGAGGACAATGGGGAAGGGGGAGTCCCAGAATTGAGTGCGCCGTTGTTATGTTGCCCATGCCTGCTGCATGGAGCGCTAATCTAGTTTCTATCTCTACTCTAAATAATGCATTCTGGCCCACAAAAGGACACTATTCGCCATTACTTTTCAAAGTTGTCTTCAGACTTATTTCAAGAATATAATTATGTTATCAACTCAACAGTACTTGTTAAATGACCTAGTACTTATTATCGTTTACTTTTATCTTTGTTTTTAATATGATATCAATTGCATAAGATAACATGTGTTTAGGGAATTTACCGAGCCAAGTGAATTGCATTACTTAAAAAATGTTAGCAATGGTATGATCATGTTACGCGCTTATTTAAATTTCTAATCTATAAGCATAAATACTATTTATATTTAAATGATATATATGATACGATTTCTCAGTTCAAAATGTTTTTATCTTTTCGTTATACCTAGATGTATTATTTTGAAGCAATCAAACTAAATTCTTCTGCATGCATAAATTTGAAATTAAATATACGTCTGATTTGACGAACTTACAAAAAAAAAAAAGTAAATCATGCATGTATACAAATCATAACTTCGTGAAAGTTGCTACAAGCATGTAAATCTATTAAACTAAAAAAGAGGCAGTACAGATGATTTCAGAAGTCCATGGGAAAAATGATATTAAGTGAAACTAAAACAAATTCCAATTAATTCTACAAATGTAATAAAAAAATAATCTCGAACAAAAAACATTTTTTCCAGCGACGTCTAAAATGATCAACTATATTCAATTAAGTAACGAGAAGAAGAAACTTGTAATACCTACTCAGTATTACAGGCAAGGCATAAAATCCTGGAAATATAGCTAATCACTGCTTATGAGATAAAATTGCCATATTAAGTACACGTTAGAACAAAGATATAGAAGGATTATCTACTAAGATACCATCTTAATACATTTAAGCTGTTCGTCTGTAAATAACAAAACTCATTGTCTCGATAAATAATAAAAGTAGTCGTATTATACAAATCGCATAATATGACTATGTCCATCTATATCTTTGCAATCTATTTTGTAAAAAAACAACCTTATTCGCGTAGAAGGTTCAGACACGGCGTTAACTCGATGCAATTCTCTTGGCTGCTTAAATTCCCTCGTTTGTTTGAGACAGCGATGTCTGTCGTGAATTGGGCAGGCTTGAATGTACGATGGGTGGAAGAAGCTACTATCAGTTTCTTCCGGGGACTCATTTCTATGAGATCTATCAGATGGTTCGTCCGTGCCACTGTGCTCGAAAATTGGGGCTGTAGGCATGTATGTGACACCTTGCATACTACTCATTGATTGTATTTTTGAATCAATTTGCAAACGTAACAAAAATATTCGCGACACGGGTTACTAGACAAATATTTATATTTATCATTCTACTTTACTCTTCCATATCCCTATTTTTCGTGAAAACCTAAGAACATTTCAGTAAATCCTTTTCTCTCCTTTTTCTCAAAAAAGACAAAAAAGAAATGATACAAAAAGGATCTGTTACCATCGATGTCGCTTATGTCGACCTCAAGGTTGTTCATTTCATGCCCACATGGACCACTCAAATATGTCGGGCACAGCGGCATGTGTTGCGGATTACATGCAGTACTACAATCTTTAATTAACCTGTGAGCAGGAAAACCACTGCTGGGAAATCCGGTTTGTCCCGTACGCCTGGCAGCATAAATAACGGACAACACTACTTACAAAATCATCATGTGACCTTTGGCAATCCCACTTCTATGTATGCAAGGACTTTGGTAACTCAATGCTTCATATATTTCTTTATTCTAGTGTTAATATAAGTGAATAAACTAGCACGCTGTTGATATTCAATGTATACAAGAAAACTTTTTAAACAGTCCTCATTGTCAGAGATGTGGTTGCTAAATTTTTGTTTCAATTAACTGCATGGTATATTTATTAATTTAAATGTACTATCATATATTTGGATAGTACTCGTGAAGGTCAGGCATCGAATCCACAAATTACTTTGTGGATTGTCGATAATAGTAAATTAAAAATTAAACACATACCTTCTGAGCTCCTCTTGATTATGTGCAAGCGCTTGCACTACACGTTCCAGCCTGATTGATCGAGCTGTCAACGGTGAAGCTGCATCGCTCCCACCACTTCCTGCACCACCAGTGCTGTCTCTTTCACTTACTGAATGCAATTCTTCGCCTGATAACTGCAACTATGACACGCAACAAAGTTATACGTATGTTATTCATAAAAATAATTCTAATTGCGAATGGAACTGACCTGGCTTGCAGGAAGAGATTCTGAAAGTTGACCTGGACTAGTCAAAGAAGCAGCGTACTGATGGAGATGCGCTGGAGACATTGACGCAGGAGCCTGTAAACGTATAATGAAATTAGATTAAGATCACTAGACGAATTAAAATTAAGATTAACGGAAGATAATACTCACAGTATGATACTTGTGTAAATAATCTCTGTTAGGACTGTGATGTGATTTTGGTGTAGATCGCCCACTTAACGGTGGCGATGCTCGTTCCAAACTTCGTCCTCTCGCTAATAAATTCATATGTTCAAGACTGCCAACGCGGGATTCCAATTCTTCCGCGCGTGCCTCGGTACTTTGTTTTTCTTCCTAGCAAAATACACAAAATTAAACTGTCATTTATTAATACACAAATTCTAATAGAGTGACAAACTTTTTTTAATTACCTGAATCAACCTAATTTCATTATTAATTGCATCTAATTGTTCCTGTAACATTAGTGCTAATGTTTGAGCATCTGTGTGTCCTGTCGGACTAATTACATCAGCCGCACAACTAAAAAGACTCTCGTTATCTCCGTCACCCTCTGCATCGCTAGAGACATCAAACGCTTGTTGTACATTGGCAAGAACATGCGCCTGCTGTAGCTTTTCCCATTCTTGTTCCGCTAAAGTGCGCGCTACATAGTTCTGAAAAATGTTTCAATGTGTTGCTTGGATTCATCGATTGTACACTTTAGTTTTTTATTAATCAAAGATACCTTTGACGCGTCTTCTTCAATCACAGATCGTTTAGCCGATCTTCTTGGTAAAGAATGCGTGTCAAAGCTACTATGACTCGCACTTCTAGAAAAGGCGCCAGGATCCACAGCATTGGGAGACAAACTTCTAGTCAAAGCGTCTGTTTGTTGAATATTGAATGCGATTTCTTGCTGAAGCATTTGCCTTTTCACGTTATCAATTTCAAGTCGAGCCTTTCCTAATTCCTTAACTATCTCTGCCTTTTCATTCTGGAGATCCTCAGCTAGTTTTCTTGTCTTCTCAAGCTCTTGCGTAAGCGCATTCTTTTCTTCCAATGCGTGCATTCTTTCTTTCAAATGCAGTTGTAATCTTTCGTTAGATTCTAAAAGAATATATCGAAACGTAAACACAACAAGCTTTTTGGTATAGACCAATTCAAACAAAATGGACATAAATTACCAGACAGAAGTTTATCAACAGTTGCGCTAAGTCGTGTATTATGTTCCTCGTTCATCTTAAGTCGCTGATTGACACGCATCACTTCTGCATTTTTCTCTTCGAGCTGCGTTTCTAATCTTTGTATCCTATCTTCTGCGCTGCCGTGCCTTTCTTGAGCCTGCTTATTAAATATTACATTCCGTTAAAATTACTTATCTTGGTGAAACTGAAATCTCAAGATGAATTAAGTATGATTTTGCGAAAGTATAAATATTTAATCACTTTTTATATGAAATTTTATAGGTAAAATGAACTTAATCTAGATTTAAAACGAAGATTGAATAAATTCAGTTAGTGAAGAATAAACACGTGCCTAAACACATTTTTTTAGAGAAATGTGATGAGAGAAACTAAAACTATAGATTAATAACAAGCTTTAAAAATAATCACATTGATTGCATTGGTTAGTATATTCAGTGTTAGACTGAAATTAAATAGATTATTTTTAATATGAAATCTTATTTACTATAATTTTCAGTATTATCTTGTTTTCAATCATAAACAGATCAAAATATTGTAAAAAAATTAATTGGATGATGTACTCATTAAATTGAGTGTGTTCATTGAAGATTGTTAAAAAGTTTTGAGTAATGTTTGTTGTTTGCATAGCACGTAATCAGGTACTGCATGAACAATGACATAAAATATGCAACAGAAGGACATTGCTGAAAATTCAATATGTCAACTGAAGTACAGTAAAGATTATTTTTAAGAAAAAGTATTGGATAGGCAAGCATTCTAGACATAGATATATTTTGGGGAGAGTCAACAGAAGTGCAGAGGAATAAAAATAGGACAAATTGATGATACGATTTAATTCCCCTGCGTACCTGGTTGGGCCTCCTCACCTGCGTCAGAGCCTCCATCCTCTGTTTCAATTGCTCTTCCATTTCTGGCAACTTAGCATACTGGGCTAGTTTCTGTTCAGCTAGTTCCAATTTCTCCTGTATAGCTGCTATTTTTTCTTCCTGGAGCTAATGAATATTTAAATTGGTAATGTAACCAATAATAAACTTTCATTCGATGACCATAGATTCACTCTAATACTTCTTAATCCAAACATGAGTTACCTTCAATTGAGCCTTCTTATGTTGCAACTCCTGTTCCAATTTTTCATTGAGATCATGCAAACTGGTGGATTCGCGTTGAGCGTTAAGATATCGTTTTTCAAGAGTCGCTATCCTTTCTTCTTGGTCTTCTTTTTGGGCAACATTCTCGCGTAAATCTCTTTGTAATTTGACATTCGATTCTTGCGTCTTCATGAGGACTTTCTGAGCTTCGGATAGGTTTTCTTCCAATTCCGCCACTCGGCCACTTAATTCTGCTACTCGTCGCTGCCATGTACTCAACTCTGAGCTCTAAAATAAGCATTATAGTATGTTATTATTAAACAACAATTTGGCTTTATATTGTTATTCGTATGCTTGTGGGAAGAGTATTAAGAATTGCATTATCCATATTAAGGACATTACAGCAACTATGCATTTCGTAATAAGACAAACACTTTTGTCATTTGCCCTTGATTCTGTAGGGTTCTACACGAAAGGCTATGTCTACTTGAGACAGACGGTTTGTTGTTATATATTGTATACGTGTTTGCATTGTATAGTATGTTTTGTGTCAGTATATGTTTATCGCATTAATAATTAAGCTCTTCATACAAAATATTTGCTTTGAAGAAATTCATTCTTATTCACTAAACCATGCGAATACGGAATACGTTGAACAAGTATCGTTGTTATATTCATTCCAACAACATGCCATGGGTACCATTAAAAATGGCACATTAAAAAGAGAAAGAAAGAGAGTAATAATCCACGTTGTACGACATAGTGTTATCAAACTTGTTGGTACTGTTTCTGTTAAGCATTTAAAAATATTATAACTCGGTCACGAAAAAACTTGAAGTTGCTTTGCAACTGTCTATTGTAATCTGTAACATTTACTAGGCATAGTCTAAAACTGATCTAGAAAACGAATCTTTAATGTCAATTTATTACGTACAGACTAAAACTACTCATAAGAATATTATTTAAACATAATACAAATCTATCCGCGATAACGTCATGCACTGTAACCAAAAAAATATATGAAAAATTCTATCTTTTCACTTGAAAACTTGTAATAATCTTGAAATGTTCTGGCAAACTTGTGAGTCACTTAAAATACATGCAAAAAGAACGGAGGATAGTATATTCGTTCTGCACCTTAAAAAATGAGCAAAAAACGTTGCAAGTAGATACCATAAAAAATGTTCCATGTATGAATAATATCTACACCTGAACTTTCCTAAACGAGTGATCATACGTACACTAAACGGTTCGTTGCCGTGATACAGTTTCATACCTGTTTGTCAACAGTGGCTTGCAAATCTATTACTCGCGCTGCAGAAACCTGGTCCGCCGGATCGAGACTTCCATTGCTCAGCCTACTCCCAATTTCAGTCGACCTCTCAGTACCTAGTTTTTGTATCGACTGTGGCTGCTGCTGTTGTTGCTGCTGCTCCTGCTGCTGTTGTTGTTGCTGTTGTTGCTCTGGCTGGCCTGCTGCCTGCTCAGTCTCATTCTGCCCGATCACAACACTACATTCAGAATGCCTCGCTCGCATTGCCTGTCCTGCATCGCCGCGCAATTCTCAACAACTACATCTATATAGCTACGCGGCTAAGCCACTACTGTCGTGCATTATCGCAGATGCACTCTAGGATGCAACGATTGAGATGAATCGACAAACAAACGGTTCTTTATCGGTACAGATTTGAACTCTGCGCTCAAGTTACGCGACACCATCGGAGTCGATGCAAAGATTGATCGGAAAAGATTTAAGGTACACCCAGCGTTAATGAATCATGGAATGAAGCAATGTCTGTTGCTGTTTTCAATCGTGACACATGAATCCCCAAATGATCACATGAATGACTTTCAGGATGACACAGTCAAATCATGTCCTTTGATTGTCAAAACGCAATGCTACGATATTTTGATTTCGTGAGGGCTGAAATCTGTGACCAATAACTTGGAAATCGATCAATAACTAACGCCGAGATTAGAAGCGTATATCGCAGAGAGGACGATACGGTCCGATGACACAGGATAACGAAGTTTATCGCACCAAGTGAAACACAGCGGCTGGTGAAATACTGAGCTGTATAAAAATCATTGGCATGCATAGTGCGAAAAAGAAACGTCGCACAAAATGCAATTCACGGACGCTCAAACACGTTGTACACCTTTCATGTATCCATGATGATTGTGAAGTATGAGGGCGGCAGTGTGTGTGAATTATCTGTGAGTGCATATATGCATGGGTGGGTGTGCGGTATATCGTATCGGCGTTTCTTGGGTACCTTGTTCTGTTGCTGTCCGTCCTCCGTTTGTCCGTTTTCCTTGGGCCTGTCGTCTGCAGATTTAGGCGCGTGTCCACTTAATTTATATTGCTGAAGCTGCAATTTCATTCGTTTCAATTAATTAGTATCACACGTAGCATTCCATGTTTAGATTATAGTAATATTTATAATTATAACTTCATCGGACATATCGATACTGTGTAGTAGTTATTTCAAACGGTACCTCATCTTTGGTAATGGCTAGCTCTTCCTCTAGGGTGGTATTTTTTTCCAATGCAACGCGCAGTCGCTCTCGCACCTAAAAGTTGGCCATTATTAAACATTTCTGCTTTTACATCAAAGGTACTACCGATTATAGCAATTTACAAAGGAAGATCTTTAACCCCGAACTGGTAGCGTCAAAACGATTTATACAATTGTTTTATTAGTTTTGATTCTCGCAGTCCTTACTAAAGTACATATTCCATCAACTATAAATATCTTTTCCTTTTTGATTTTTTTTGTCTCATCTATCTCATGTATTCTTTTTTTTTTATCTAGCCTACTAGTTAACTACTTGGCCGAATCAGTTCAGGGTTAAGCAGGAATCGTTCCGCTTCTTCCGTCAAGGTTGCCCAGGCGCCAATGCCGTCGCGAACAATAGATCAAAAGTTCTTACTTTCTCGTCCAGAGCCTTGTGGTGCTCGAACAGACTTTTCAGAGCTTTAAGCACTTCAACTTCGGACGATACTCCGGATTGCACGGCTGCTTGCCTCTTCATCACAGTCAACCGAAGCGATCGTTCGTGTCGTGAGACCAGACATTCTAAATGTTCCAGCAGAAGCTGTGGGAGCCAACAGAGAATCGTTTCAGTAGGGTATATATCAAATACGAGTACCTTCGAACTGTATCAAACGTATTAAAGCTATTCTAGTTACACGAGTGTTGCTACGTTCCGCCTTCAGTTCCGATATTTCCTCCTCTCTCTCTAGGATACTCTCGCGTGCCGCTGAAAGCTCTTTCGCCAGCTGAGAGAACTCCTGAAATCAAAAGTATCGCACTATGTATTGCTTGCTAATAAAACGAAAGAAACTTTTGGGACAATCTGATATAATGTTAAATACTCGAGACGACGAGTCTCTTATGCTTAATGAACATCAAATGTAGGGGCTATTCCATTACTCAAATCCAGGAAAAATATTATCAATTAAAATTACTATATTCGACAACCACCAAATGAAACAAGAACGACAGTATTCAAGGTTTCGGGACATCGATCGTGAAAAGTGTCCTGACTTGGTCACCACGAAAACCCCTACCAGGGAAACTCACCATTTTCATTCAAGCACATTTTACACACCCTTTCGAACGCGTTACTTCCGCTCGACATTCCACCAGAATGTTGAATCTTTATTTATAAATGCCGCTGATCGATAGAGGCTTCCCTGTTAGAACAACATCGCCGACCGCTTTGCACTTTAAAGGAACAAACAGCTTCGTCTAAATTTAGGCGACTTTCGTTCACCTTCGGTACAATACCACCACTTTTGCGAACCTAAATTCCGCGAGTTTCGAATTTCTTAGATTCCAACTTCTCCTTGGGTTCTAAGCTCCCGAGCTTCCGTTTTCCTCAAATTCTTAAAATTCTCCACTTTCGCAACCTCCAACTCCGCGAGTTCCCAATTTAGGAGATAACAAATTTCCCAAGTTTTCAACTCCGAGGTTCTCACATTTCCAAGTTTTTGGCGTATCTTTAGCACGGGGGAATCTGGAATTCCACTTTTCAATTTCGAATGTCCCAAATTCCCCTTTCAAAAAATTACAATATTTACTCGAATATATGTATAAAATGTTTTCAAAATTTCATTAAATTATATACATTCCTTTCTTGATACCAAAAAATTCATCGAAATAACTAAAAAAACGTAGTCCTAAAGGAGCCTGGTCATTCTTCATCCGTGTTTATTTCATATTTTGGGATTTACGATTCAAGCGAATTTTGTTTGCGGACCAATATGACCGGGGGGCAGTGGGCCATAAATCCAATTGTCAGTTGACTTGATTTTTAGTTGAAATCGGGTTAAAGGCTCGTGATAAATGCGAGGCACGCTAGTCTAAAAGTCTACACTTCGGAGCGACATTTGTGGGTCCACTGAGTTATGTAGACTGTCCAAGTGTACTTTAGTTGTGTCCAAGTGAGTCGACCTGAGACAAATGGGACATGCTGATCTACATTGGTCGGAAGGTAGAACTACATTTGTCACGTTTTACATTATCCTTTACATTATCCTTTTCGCATTCTATTGATTATTCATTTATACATGTATCATTTCTGTATCTATATATTTAGAAATGTAAATTTGCATAAACACCTACAGGCTAATAATTACAGTAAAGTTGTATTTCGATTATATTAAATGCAACTATTCAGCGGCAATGTGATACTGTATCGCTGGTGATTAGCAATGAAAAACTGATCCTAGGAAGGTAATCTATGTAGTTACGGGTATATTCCCACGAATAAACAGAAACAACAAAAGGCACATTAGAGCCAGGTATTGTTCGATTTAAATCAAATTAATGGCGGTTTCCATTCATCTTGCCTAGGTGTCGAGTTGTTTCGCAGGTTTCCATTGAAACGTAGTCGCGATTGTTAAATGTCTCCATCAAGTAAACAAATGGTTTCTTTCGATTTACTTACTACTGAATCTATAGCTTACAGATAACTCGTTTGTTATTTAAAATTTCCACTATTGGCACGAGAAGAGCGATTAACGAAAAGAATGAAAATATAACTTCCTAGACAAAATGGTGAAATTTGATTAATTCTTGGCAGATATTTGGAAGATGATGCAAGGGACCTACGACACAATGAGAATTTCGAAGGGGGACATGATCGGAGCCAGAATCCTCCTAGGTTGAAATGGATATTGATTTCGTGGCTACGTCACGATGTCATCGAAACGGCATCACGGAACAAGCGATAATTTCCACGCGATATCGATCGTGCGCCACGCGTACGTAAGATGGGATTTAAACTCGCGTGTGGACGTGCAGTTTGCGCCCACGGTGCAACGGACTGTGAGAGTTATGCAGCTGCAGTTCGTTAGAAGTGCATGACCCCTGGTCGAGGCCGATTGAGATATTGAAATTTGCGTTCTCGCCAAGGGAAACGGACGGATCCTGATTTCTTTACTAACCTCGCGTTCCAAGGAACGAATCGCAATTATGATCCGACCGCGGACATGGTGCGTATCTTTGCATACGGGATGAGTCTCTAGAAACTTGATTGTGAGACAAGCTACACAAATTTCCATTATGTAAACACTGTTTTTTTACCTTATCACGTACAAGTTGATTCTGAAACTTTGTATGTTCCATCTTCTGTTCGATAAACACACTCTTACAATTTAAAAATGTTTCTTGCGTTCGTCAAGTAAACGGACTACGTCACATTAAAGAATTTCCACAACAAATTCTCAGGTGAAAGGATTAAAATCAAATGCAATTTTGCATACGGTAAAACTTCTTTAAATTAATCATTCCTTTTCTCTATTACGTTTTTTTCCTCAATTTGCAACCAAGGATAAAGTTCTGTCAAGCACCAACAGAATTCGGGTGATCGGAGAGCTGACGAGAACAGGTGATCGTCATCGTGGATGAACGAAACGTTGAAAAAAAGTCCCGACACCGGGACCTAGTCGCGTAAAAAGGTCGGTGGCACACTGAGGCTCGAGAGCAGGCTGAATGTGCCAGATGCAGACGAAAGCCGAACTCAATTATTGCAAGGTGATGGGAACCCTATAAATAGTGGCTTCGAAGACGTTACACGGAGTGGCTGAGAGTACTATCGAGTCATGAATGCTTGACAAAAGGGATGCGAAATAAAATTGTGTCTTCGACCTTTCGAGCGGAGTTCCAAGACGTTGCCAGTGGATTAAATTCAACTCGATCGTAGAAAATGGAACAAGATGTAGGTCAGTGGGCCGTGAAGACGTTGCTCGGCTCGGATAAAATGGATCTCGATACGCGTTTTGTATTTTTAATGTGAAACCCTCCGCTCCAACGATACGTGAAATACTTTTGCCGGAGTGGAGATGGAAAATACACGTTTCCAATAAAATGACCAGTGACGTTTGGAAGTCTGCGGTTGCTGATCTTTGTGCATGTAACGACTAATCTCTCAAACTACCGAACATTAGACAAATATCATGCTTTTCTTGGCCCCGTGACTGCGTATGACTACGTCCCTTAATCAATTTATCAACTACATTTTCCTCTTTGACTCGGCGAAAGAAAATCCATAAAACCGAGATATTTAAAGTGTCAAACTGGGCATACCGCCTTAAATTAATAGAAATCTAGCCAAGTCTTTCGAAATTTCATCTCTCCGTCGATGTCGGTCATCGGGGCGTTTATTATCGATTAATCGATTAATCGATACCAAGGATTTGTTGGCCAATATTAACTGGCGACGTACGATTAACGTCAAAGGATTCTTGCGAGCCCAGCCGCTTCGAAACGATAATAAAAGGTCAGGAATTTAATATCGGACAGGGGACCTCGTATCGGAGAGAAATTCCAATTTACATTTACTAATTTCCATCCTCGGACCTCCCCGGATCCCGTAGATCGTACAAATATTACGCGAATAATAAAGCATCAGAAGTGAATACTTTTCTCTTCTCAAGATCATCGGTATTTAGCGCACCGGTGGAATCTCTGCCTGTATCGTTTCATTACTATTTTTAATAGTATGAGCTGGAAGCATGTAATGCGCAATACCTGCATAATAACGAGCGGCCGTCACTTTATTACGTGACTTAACAGTAATCTCGTGGCTGGTAGATAGAGAAAAACCTTGTTTTATGCTCGCCGTGTTTCAAACGTTTTATTTCCGATGACTTGTGCGAATTCTTCCAGCGCAATCTTCATTAATAAGCGTCGCGCGACTCCGCAGGTAAGAACACGCCTTAGATTTCGCCCGCTCGTTATCGATGTCTCGCGATTAATTTTTAAACCGGTCCCAGGTAGACAATGACGCAGCGTAAACGTCTTCTAACGTATCGGTGTTATCGCGTTCATTAATGTACAATGTGATGATATTAACTCTTTGATTAAAATTATTATTCAAAGATGTATGTATATTTCGTTAAAAAGTGTTTGTTTGAGGTGTACACATACTATTAGGTTGGTGCATACGAAATGTCGTACATACAAATGAATGCCGAAAGGAACAGCATCTCCCTTCTCACGAGATTAATTTTTCTAGATTTTTAGATTTTTAGATTTCAATGAAAAATCTAACAGACGCTATAAAATTTACAGACAACACCCCCTCCAAAAAACTTGTTAAATTGGAAATTAAAGAAACTTTTCATTCTCAATATAGACAAAAAGTTGCTCGACGTGATAATTAATTTCTAATAATAGGCCTAAAAAATATGCAACGATTTTGATCGAATGTACACTCGAGCTTATAGATTAGCACATTGTTTGCTAAAGATGTTTGCTCGCAGACGTTAAAAAGGCAGAATGTGCAAATATGCACCCGCCCACTCGGGCCAATTCTTTCAGCAAAGCTCGCGCACCGCTTACATGCTGCAGGTGAGGAATTATGCAGCGGTTGCCACACATCCTTGTTAATCGAGTGTGAGAAGCAAGACACCGGTTCTATTCTTATATTTACTCGTCGATGATAAGATAGAGACAATGGATACGAGGCTGTTGAATTTGCCGCGACGAGACGAACGATCCGCTCAAGTAAACAGAAGGAGGAATCGAGATCCACGAGAAGAATGGATGCACATAGAGATAGGGTTACGTAAGTATGTAAATAAGAGTGTCGGAGGCCTACATATTGGCGCGCAATTTGCATCCTTTTAACACTTGCGCGTGCCAATTAAACGTGTACAACACCGTTACTATGGCGTGCTAAGAGACCGGACTATGACACGTTACTTTCATAACAGTGCTCGCCGTTAGCCAACAAAATATTCAATTAATTTATGATCAGATTGATGTTATCTACTGACCAACT